CCACCGGGTAAAGTCCTCGGGCCTCGCCGCTGACATGCTTCTCCCCCCTCCAAGGGACTGGGAAGTCGTTCCTGCTGAAGAAGATCGTGGGCTCCCTCCCTCCAAAGAGCACCTATGCTACAGCCAGCACGGGAGTGGCGGTTGCCACGTCGGTGGCACCACTCTCCATGCCTTCGCAGGTAACGGTCTGCCTGACAGCGAGGGGCTGGGAGGTCTCGCTCCCTTCCCAAAAAGTCAGGAGCTTCCCAAAGCTTTGCTTTCTTCTCCCCTGCCAGGGATCGGCTCTGGGAGGGCACCACTGGAACAGTGTATTCAGCTGGCGGAGAGGCCTGGGGTGCGCCAGCACTGGCTGGCCTGTCAGCACTTAATTATCGATGAGATCTCGATGGTGGATGGCAAGTTCTTTGACAGGCTGGAGGCAGTGGCGAGGTGAGCGATTGCCAGGTTAAACAACTAACAGAAATGAGTTTCCCTAAATTTCCAGGCTGCTTCCTTCCTCTGGTTATGTGAATGGATACAAGGCAACCGGTGGCATAGGACTGGAAGGAAGCATGAAATCACAGCCAGCATCTGGGCAGGCCTTTATCTTGAGATAAGTTTTGATCATGTCCCGTTCCCCAGCTGTGGCTGTTCTGGTTGCTGTTTCCATCTCCGGAGGCAAGTGTTATCTGTAGAGCTGAGTCCAGAATACAGCTGTTTATGCTGTGCCCAGCAGTTCTCTCTTGCAGAGAGAAGCAGTTGTAGTATAGCAGCTACCAAAGAACCAAGACTGGTAATGACATCTGGGGTGGGTAAGCAAAGCAAACTTAATGTCACGTAATAGCATTGCTTAATTATTTGAGCTCTTCTGACAAGGCTGAGGATAATCTTTTACTGCAGGTGGTGTATATTTGAATGTACTGACAGACTAAGAAGTAACTTCTGAGACCTGACTATGTCCAGGTCCTGGAGGGCATTCAAAGCTTCTTCTCTCTTCCCTCCCTTTCAGGGCAGTCAGAAAACGGGATGAGCCTTTTGGAGGAATTCAGCTAATCATCTGTGGGGACTTCTTGCAGCTACCCCCAGTCTGCAAGGCTAATGAAGAAACCAAGTTCTGCTTCCAGGTAAAAAACTGTCCCTAAACTCATTCTCACACTTCAAGTCTGCCTCTTTCTTAACAAGAAAATGATTTGCCAGGCAAAAAGCTGGAGGAAATGCATCCACATAAACATGGAGCTGACTGAAGTGCGGAGACAGACCGACAAGACCTTTGTCTCACTCCTGAGTGCAGTCCGTTTAGGCAGGTGAGGAGAAACTCTGCTGTCTTTGTAATCTCTGCTCCCTACTGATGGAGCAGAGGAAAGAGCGGTTTGTCACTTCTCTGCGCATTCTATCAGGAATGCGTGGCTGGGGGCAATAGCTATAAATGCTTTAGTTACCGTACGCAGGTTTTATATATGCTGCTCTGGTAAGGAAGGACCCTTTCTAGGGTCCCTCTTTGCAATTTCTGCTAAGGAATTCGATGGATCCCAAGCTGGCAGTGGCCAGGGCAGGGCTGGGGTACACACTTGCACTGCTCTCCAACTTTGTGTAGTTATATTTCCCGTCCTTCTCTCTGGAGGCCTGGGGCTTGCACAGCCTGATCCAGCTGCATGGAGGTTACTGCTGCTCAAGACCTATACCTGATCACTTTAAGTAATAATCCCCTTTTCCTGGTTACCAGGTGCACAGAGGAGGTTACCAGACTGCTGACACAGACTGCTGCTAACAGGTCTGAGCATAATGGGATCCTGGCTACGCGGCTCTGCACCCATAAAGATGATGTAGAAATAACCAATGAGAGACGCTTACAACAGCTATCAGGTGAATGCCTTGGAGGAAGCTGCTGGCTTTGGGGCTGAGCTCTGAGTGGATGCAATGGGGACACTGTGTTGTCAGGAGGAACTGATGTTCTGTCGTGCACAGCAGCACCAGTCCAAGTTGTGTGTGTTGGGAGTTGAGCCGCCTGGGGAAAAACTTCACAGCTTTTTGCTTAAAAATCCAGTTACTTCTTGGTGTGTAATAGACAGCGAGCTCATTGCTTGCTGTGAGGTAGCGTGGGTCATTATTGCCTCCATACCCCTGCTTTTTCTTTCTGTAGCATCTCAGAAAGGCCGTGCTCTATCCAGCCATGACTTGATTTAAGGGCTATTTCATTTCTGCCTCCCTGTCTGGCGCTAGGATTCTTTCTTAGTCCTCAGTTACTTCTTGGTGTGTAATAGACAGCGAGCTCATTGCTTGCTGTGAGGTAGCGTGGGTCATTATTGCCTCCATACCCCTGCTTTTTCTTTCTGTAGCATCTCAGAAAGGCCGTGCTCTATCCAGCCATGACTTGATTTAAGGGCTATTTCATTTCTGCCTCCCTGTCTGGCGCTAGGATTCTTAGTCCTCTTTGGAGATCTGGTGTTGGCAGCAAGTGAAACTGGTCATATGCTCAAAATGGTGACTGCTCAGTTCTTATTTACTGCTGGCCTTTGATTCCTGAGCCTTCTCATGCTCTGGGAGTTATGTTGGGAAGAGAGGCTTTCTGCTGTTAGATGTGACAAGGTTTGTGTGAAGACGTCCTATCAGCAGAGCAGAATGGATATTAAAAGAGGAATTGCTGTTAGAAATAAATGTTGAGCCTCCTGCAGTGCTGTGTGGAATATGTTAAATGGTTGCAATTTGTCACATCTTTCTTTCCTTAACAGGAGAAGTGCACGCTTTTGAGGCTTTGGACAGTGACCCAATGCTAGTGAAGTTAATTGATGCTCAGTGTCCTGTGGGTGGTAGAGTTGAGCTAAAGCTTGGAGCTCAGGTGAGTGTGTGTACATACGTTTGTGAAAGACCAATAGATCAAATGGCATAAGAAAAATAAAGGAATTGCAGATAAATGTATACAGCAGATTAACGTATAGAACGCAGATTCTGTATAGAACGTCTATGCCAGGCCAACAGAAGACTCTGTCCCAATCTTTATATCTTTTCTGCTTGGAATCTTATCCAGACAGAGAATTAGTCTGATTTGAGTGCAGGTCCATGTCTCGCGGACAGTGGTGACTGCTATGACTTTGACATGCATTTCCAATCAGGTTTAGAAGCTTCCAGGTGGCAGAGAGCACAGGCAGTCCTTGCCTGTGGTCTCAGCTCCAGGTACAGTAGCCCTCCTGACCTGTAAGGGTATGGCACAGCTTGCCAAACTTGCAGGACTGGGCACCTTGCTGTGAGCTAGGGCTGTCAGAGTGGAAAGGTTGCAGGATTGTGCTTAGCAGCAGCACTGTTTGCCTTGGGAAATTGTTCCTTAGGTGTTCCCAGAATCTATATATATCTAGGCTTGTTGGTGTTTGGGGAAGGGGGATCTGAGCTCACAGCTGTGGACCGAAGCAGCTCAAGTGAAGTGTTCAGTGCTGCAGAACGATGTAGTTGGGAATCCTAGGAAGGAAAGGCTGTGAAATAATTTCAATCAAATTGGAGACGGTGCTCTATCCTGCAATAGGATGATGTGGCTGTGGCCTTATCAGCCTGCTGTGCTTATGCTTCCTGGCTAGAAGCTTAGCTGCAGGGTGGCTGAAGAGGTTGTAAAGCCAGTGCACTAAGGGATTTTTCTTCTTCTCTGTAGGTGATGCTAACTAAGAATCTGGATGTGTCTCAAGGGCTGGTGAATGGGGCGCGAGGAGTTGTTGTAGGATTTGAAAGTGAACAGAAGGGTAAGTAAGATTTTTGATCTTTTGTTGAAGGAAGAGGAAAAATCCAAAACAATTTATCATTGATGGCTGATGACTTGTTAATTGTTTACTGCTTTGTAAGAATAATTTGAGGGAAAGCGGGGAGGAAGTCCTCGCTGCAGTGAGAGGCTTGGGGCTCTCATAAGCTGTGATGTCATGTGCTGCATCGGCTGTAGCTATCTTGAGGGCCTCTTGTGTTTGCTTTTCTTTATTCTCTAAATGTGTATGCTCGTTTGCATTTCTTGTCTGTTCTGTTGAAGCACTTCTTGGTGGTTTTTTGTTTGTTTTTCTCAGAGAATAATGTTTTGCCACCTGCAATGTGTATTTTTCCCTGCATCTCAACTGATAAATTACCTGATTTTAATTCTCCTGCTTAAGTAGGTCCCAAATATCATTTCAGGACACCCTATTTACTGTGTGTGGGTTTAGGTTTTTTTTTTTTTGGTGTGGGATTTTCTTTTTTTTAATGCAGCCCTAAAATTCATGGAAGACTGACATGAGGAAGGAGGAAAAAAATAAAAAGTGTTCTTAGGCTGCTGGCTTCCTGGCTGTTGAGCATTAAGAATATATCCCTGTTTCTCACCTGCTCCCATTCCTACAGGGCTGCCTAAGGTGAGGTTTCTCTGCGGGGTCACACAGGTCATCAAAATGGAGAAATGGGTCTTCAAAGGGCCATCGGGAGTTCATCTGAGTCGTCAACAGCTGCCTTTAAAATTGGCATGGGCCATTTCCATTCACAAGAGTCAGGTGGGTGTTCTTATACAGCTGTCTCTAGACTTCTATGCCATCAAAAGCCTTATTTCCTGGGTGAGCTTGCATTGCTGGTAAAACAAGAGGCAAAACTGAAAGGCCCTTGTTGTGGGGGACCTCTAGAATATGTGTGTCTAGCTGCAGAGAAGGCAGCACCTTTTCTGCTTGTGATGCTTGTCTATGGGGTGAAGGATGGGCTAGCAATACAGCTAGAGTTTCCATAACAGTGCTGCCATCTGCATAGTTGGTGTTAGACTATAAAGCAGCATTATTTACTGCTGTGGACTGATCAGGGGAGTGTTTCCCTGATAATCATCAGCATTAGCGATGCTGAGGTTTGCAGTGTACCTGAGGAAGCTGCAGGAGTCACAGCTGTGCTCTTTGGGCTGGACTCCTCCTTTGGTGGTGTGTGTTGGGTCTTTTCAATGTAACTAATACAGTTCCTACCTTTCCAGAAGACTTCATACGCTTTGATAAATACTTGTCTTGATATTAGACCTGTGAGTTTGTTCCCATGCCACTGCTTAAACCAGGCCATGTTGTAAGTTCTGCTGCCTCCTGGGATGTCTCTTGGTGCAGACAGGGCTGGCCAGGCCTAACCCAAACTCTGTCTCAGATGGTCTGCCTTGAGGACTGCTTGAGACTGGCAGCTGCTCCAGTTAATTACGAGGAGTGAAAACAGCAGGATTTCTTTCCCTGCTGTGTTGATTATATAGGATTTGTGGTGTTTCACACAATAAGAGGCTCACTGGAATTAGTTAGTGGACCCTACTGTCTGCTAGCAATTTCCTGAGAGTGGAAAACTGTCCTCTTCTTTCTACTGATTCCCATCTTTTAATCAGTTACATAGTCAAACAAGAGACTTCCTTTTTTTATCAAGCCATACACCAAGGATGGTACCTTTGACAGACTCATGGGACAGGTGTTGTGGTTTAAACTCAGCTGGCAACTGAGCACCACACAGCTGCTCGCTCACTCTCCCCCCCTGCCCTGGTGGGATGGGGGAGAGAATCGGAAGAGCAAAAGTGAGAAAACTTGTGGGTTGAGATAAGAACAGTTTAATAATTGAAATAAAATAGTAACAACAACAATAATAAAAGAATATACAAAGCAAGTGATGCACAATGCAGTTGCTCACTATCCGCCAACCGATGCCCAGCCAGTCCCTGAGCAGCAGCCCCCCCCGGCCAGCTTTCCCCCAGTTTCTGTACTGAGCATGACGTCACATGGTATGGAATGTCCCTTTGGCCAGTTGGGGTCAGCTGTCCTGGCTGTGCCCCCTCCCAGCTTCTTGTGCACCTCCAGCCTTCTCAGTCGCTAGAGCATGGGAAGCTGAAAAGTCCTTGACTAGTGTAAGCACCACTTAGCAACAACTGAAACATCGGTGCGTTATCAACATTATTCTCATCCTAAATCCAAAACACAGCACTGTACCAGCTACTAGGAAGGAAATTAACTCTATCCCAGCCAAAACTGGGACAACAGGTTAGTGTTGATACAGCACAGTGTTTTTGTTTGTTCTGTAACAAACTTCTCTGTGTCTTTGATAGGGCATGTCTTTAGATTGTGTGGAAATCTCCCTGTCTCGTGTCTTTGAAAGTGGGCAGGCTTATGTAGCCCTCTCCCGAGCCCGTAGCCTTGCAGGTCTCCGTGTTCTGGATTTTGATCCGAAAGTAGTGAGAGCTGATCCTTCTGTGTTGCAGTTCTATAGACAGCTGAGATATCATCAACTTCTAACCCAGGTAAAGAAAAATCCTGTGCTAGCAAAGCCTGCCTTGTGCAACCAGGATGAGATGTTTGCGCTGAGATGCTACTTTTTCTTCCTAAGCAAGATCATTCAAATTTAAAACTTGTAGTGGCAGGAGAGATGAAATTGCAGAGAGGGAAAGTTGTGGGGCAGCTCTCGGTGGCAAAATATCTACTGTAGTGTTGGGATTGTATAATGTTATCTGGCCCTGTGGGTGAAAGGATGGGTTGGGATTCTTTGATCCTCCTCTTGCAGTAAGGACTGAAGGGGAAGTGGGCACACAAGAAATCTCTTCTATTTTTCTTTCTCTCCACCCCCCAAGGATTCACTACACACCCATTCAGGTGCTGATGAGAAGGAGAACTGGAAATGCAGCTGAGAATGCTCTTCTGGCCTCTGTGAGACATCAGCACAGACTGCTGAGTTGCAGCGATCTTGCTATTGAGTATATTTAACATGGATAAAGTCAAAGGCATTTTTTTAGATGTTTGCTTTGTTCAGCTGACTCTGAATGTGTAGAAGTATCCCCGTCTCATGCCTCAGGAATTTGGAAGGCTTCTGTAGCCCCTTTCTGGGCCCACAGCCTTGAGTACTTCTGTGTCACAGAAGCAACTGTAGCAAACAAAATGACTGAACAAGGACATGCCTGAGGGACCTTCCTATGGTTCTGTCCCGTCTGCGTGGTTGCATTTTATTCTCTACATATGTAGACTGAAACTTATGCGCCTTTCTTCAAGTATACCACGGTTGAGAGATGGAAGGTGTGTGTCCTCTTTGCCTGGGTGGATTGGACCTGTTCACAAGAGCTGCTGACACAAGGGAAAGCAGTGCTAAGTATCTGGAATACATGCTTGATTCTCCTGCAAGCGAGGAGCTGCCAGGAGCTGGGCTATCACTTCATAGCATCCTGGGGTGTTCTTGCCTTCCAGATGCTTAACACTAGGAGGCTTTGCATAACTTCCTCCACAAGCAGAACTGTAAGAGTTATACATTGCCTGTTATGTTGATACATAGCCTTTTTATTAGTCTGTTGCATACAATAAGATGTGATTTTTAGTTTTGTTAACCTTCTGAGATGAGCTGGCACTGTTTTAAAAATAGGAGGAAGTCCTACATCTCATACCCATAATTATGGAACTACAAGAATCATGAAGATCCATTACCCCATTAGCAAGAAGGGAGTGAGAGGAGATGGGTGCTGGTGGGAGCCCCTCTTGTTTAAACATATAAGGCTTGCTCAAATGGGAGGGAGTTTCTGCTGGAAACAACGTGTCTGACTAGTAAGGTGGAAGTTGAATGTGCAATAGGGAATAATGGGCAAGGACACATGAAGTGAGCTGTAACTTCCTGTTTCAGCAAAAGCAGAGATGAGCAGAACTAATAAACTGTCTTTTTGAAGTCTTTTTCTCCTTCATAAAGGAGAAGCCTTGGTCTTTGTATTTTAGCACATTGCTTAAAGCTTTAACTTGTATATTTTTAAATGTTTAACATGCGGGAATAATGTGAAATATCAACATCCAGCTGGAACTCGCCTTTTGCAGGGGAGTGTCTCTGCAACAAAGCCTCTGCAGTTTGAGCGAGTTGAAGGCCACTTCTTGGCAGCTGCTCTCCTTAAAGCCAGGGAAGGGTGTTGGCTAGCCAGTGGTTAACATAACAGAAACCAGATTTTGGTAGGACTTCAAAATGTGTTTTTTAAGTGGGGTTTGTTTTTTCTGGGCTTGTGGGGTAGAGTTTTGGAGGAAGCAATAGTAGAAGGCAGAAGTGTGAGAATTATTCAGAGGTGTTCAATCTAATGAAGGGGTTCTTAATATATCGGCACATTGTTTCTTCAAAGAAGTCTGGTGGGGGGGTAGATGGAAGTACCTGAAGCTGGGGCTGGAGTCTGTGGAAGGTGAGACCCTTCCCCTCATGCTGCAAGCTGTTCCTGGCACTACCTCTGGTCTTTCAGACTCTGTGTGTGAAACTTGTTTGGTGGTGGTTTTTTGTTTTGTTTTGTTTTTTTAAACAACACCTTTCAATTCTTTGAGCTGGACTTAAGCTCTTTGTCCACCTTGGGGAGGAAATGAAAAATAACCTTCCCATGCCCACACCCCTGGGAAGGAGGGTGCTGGCATGCTAAAGCATCGCTGCTGGGGCAGATGAGCACTGAGGTGTGATTCCTTGGCCTGCAGCTCCCAGAGCCCCCACCAGACCTGGGTGAGGGCCTGACTCCATTGCAGCCCTGCACTCGCAGGGGAGCTGCTGCAGCTGTCCCCATCCAGCCTGCAGGCTGTGTCCCCCAGCTGACAGGGTGGCAGTACCCAGTTGGGGTTACCTGAGCATGGGGGTGCTCAGGTTCAGCCCTTTCCTCCTGTGGCAGCACACATGGAGTGCAGGTGTGGCAGGCTGGCCCCAGCCTTTCCTTGGACACCTCTTGTTCCCTTGGCTGCACATCAGTCCTACCCCGCAGCACTCTTTCCTCATGCCGCCATTCTGCAGTGGGTGTCCTGGATGAGCCTCTGTGCTGTGCCTATATCGTTCCAGCTGGGCCTCAACATGCATCTTCCACCTTTGTTGTCCGTTGAGTTTTTGCTTTTGTTCACCTTGTTCTACAGACCATCTGCTGACATCATGTCCATCTTCCCCTCATGCCCCTTGTGCAGGTGGTCAGAGTCTGTGGGTGCCCTAACTGTCAGGGACAAGGCTGTCTGTGCAGGCAGGGAAGACTGATGGGTAACCTAAAAGCCTGTATGCTTGGCCAGTGGGCTGGGCTGGGGCCAGTTTGCGCTCTTGTGGGTTTTTAGAGGTAGGACACCACAGTATGAGGGCTTTGTGTTGCATCGGAGGTTGAGGTGTGGGGTCTGAAATGCTCAGGGATGTTAAAGTCAGTTTTACTGTTGGGGTAGACAGTTAGGAAGAATATGCCAGGCACTTCCAGTCATACAAAATACATTGATTTATTGACAGATTGCATAAGAGTAATGAGATAATGCAGGTTCAAATCTTTTAACATCTCTTTAAAAGTTCCTGTACCACTGTCATGGCAAGATAATTTAGAGTGTAAGAGGGTTGATTATGTACAATGCAAATAAACTTTTAATTGTAATCTTGTGAAGCAACTCACTTAACTGCAGCTTTCATGGGTTTAGGGACTGAAATCTTTCCAGTTGTATGGGGTTTTTTTGGTGCCAATTTGAGGTTTGAGATAAAATGCTAAACAGAACTTAAAGCTGGAAAGGGTAATAAATATTTCATGTTAATATTAAATGTACATGAAATATTGTGGTTGCCTTCTCAGAGGTGGAGCAGTGGGAGCAGAATAGCAGTGGATTTTGAAGGGTTGGCAGCTGTCCTGAGGCCAAAAGGGGTCTGTCCATGTAAATTTTGGATGTTCTCGCTCACTTCCAGCTAAAACAGATGTAGGGATGGGGGCTGAGGCTGAAGACTGCTATTTAAATCCTAAAACAAGCAGTCAGGACAAATCTGAGCTGTTAGGCTCTGTCATGGCTCCCCTGCAGTCAAGATTGTGATGAGGCCTTTTTTTAACAGAATAATGCTTCCATATAGATGAGGTAAAAATTTTGTAATACAATAAAAATCCCTTCTTCCAAATACTCCTTAATATGTTAATTTTCTTGCAGAGGGATATTAACTAGTCTGTAGCTAGAACCCAGTACACCAAAATAGAATTTTTTTTTTAAACTTTTTTTATTGCAGTGACTGTACTGGAAGAACAGAGCTGCTCATCCTCTCTTCATTAGTAGGTAAACTGAAGAAGAATCTGAAGAGCAAGCAACTTTTTACATGAGGCCACCACAAGCCATCTTCAAAATGTCCGGTGATGCTGTTGCTTTCACCTGCTGAGGCAAGGGGGTCTTAGCAGGTTGGATTTTTTCAGGGACAATTCACAGGTCTTCTGACAGAGCAAGTACACGTGCTATTCTCAGCTTACACAACCTAGAGCTCACGCTTTTCCCCTGCCCCAGCGTGGATCTTCTCCACAGGCTTCAGTCCTTCAGGAAAAAAATCTGCTCCACCGTGGTCTCTCCAGGGGCACCCGGAGCTGCTCCTCCTTCTCTGACCTGGGTGCTTGTAGGGCTCATTTCTCACAGTTTTTTCCTCACTCCTCACAGCCATGCAGTTTTCCCCTTCTTAAATCTTGGTACCACAGAGGTTCCACTAGTGTTGGTGATGGGCTCAGCTGTGCCCTGCGGTGGGGCTGCTGTGGAACTGTCTGGAAGTGTTTGGAACCAGCCATGTCAGGCATGGGGCAGCCCTGACCTCTCCTCACAAGAGATTCCCGCCAACACCTGGGCATGTGCACCTGATACACCAAGTATCAAGTGTGTTTAGTTTCCTTCAAAATTGCCTCTCTTCCCTCTCCTGTAGATGCTCGTAACATACACATTGTTGGATATCCTGGGATACAGAGGTAAGACTAGAGGTGCTGTGGTAGGTAAAAAGGGAAATGGCCAATGACGGAGGAACCGCCATTTTCATGTGGCAGATGGCAGGAGGCAGAGGTAGGAGATGGCCTGCAGTACGGCTGGAGTCTAGCTAAAACGAAGGGCACGCCAAGAGGGTGCGTGGCAGTGCAGCGAATGGCTGGGGTTTCATTACTGTACTCCAATAAATATGAGGAAATGAATATTGTCTCTCCACTTTCACAAACTGAAGAAAAAGTATTTAAACATGGCTTTTGCCTTAACTTAACCGCAGCTATAATTAAGTGAATTAAACTACAAGTTTGATTCATAATTGGTATTTCTGTTACCACAAAGTATAGCCATTCTCTTTTCAAATACCTTAAGCCATAAGAAACTACTTTATGCCAGCTAAAGCTTCATAATGCATTTATGTGTTATTGGAAGCATAATTCACACACAGAATGTTATTAAAACCTTACCAGCTTCTGGTTTAAATCTTTGTACAGTGATTTAACTCCTTCTCATTCTTTATGTGACATTTTCATAATAATTAAACATGAATGTGTCCTTACAGTCTGTACCCAGAAGTCCTGTGTGCACAGGAAAGGCAGCAATACTCCTGTTGGTCTCAGATGCTGTAACAAGATTGTGTCCATGAATTAGATCTTCCTATCCAGAATTGCTCTGAATAGATCAAACAAATGCTACTCTTAACTAATGGAAATACAGTCCATTATAGTCTATGCTATGAATGCTAATAATGTCATTTTTCTTACAGATATTTTTCTCATTTTGTATTATGCCAGTCCGTGATGTGCAATTGTCCAGATATTTTTCTCATTTTGTATTATGCCAATCCGTGATGTATAATTGTCTTCTGCTAAATCTAAGCAGTTCTATTATTAGTATGAGAAAAGACCTGAATTACTAGAGATTGCATTTAGATGTGTAAAATCTCTATCTCACTATTTCC